GATTTACAGCCTTTTACAGTAAGCTGACACATTATTCATTTATATCAAATGGCAGGATTTACGATAGTTATTATTAGACCTTCAGTTGACTTCAGGCTTCACAGAGGGAAGGAACAGGCAAAGTCACAAAATGTGGAGATGGGGAAGAGAAGAGTAATTCAGGGATGGAAAAGAGATAGACACAGAGTTTGAGAAAAAGAAAAGGTGAGGAATCTGGAAGTGGTCAAATATGACATACCGTCGGATATTTATTTATTTATTTCAAATGGCAGGCATTTTGATAGTTATCATTAGCTCTTTAGTTGACTTCGGGCTTCACAGAAGGGAGGAACATTAAAGTGAGAAAAATTCGACAGGGGGAAAGAAGAGCGGTTCATAGATGTAACAGACAGACAGACAGACACAAAGGCAGAGAAAAGGCTAGATGAGTACTGTGAAAGAGGTCGAATATGACATACAGTGGGGTTATGGAAGTTTGAAGTCAGAGGTCAACTTCCAGTCAATAGACTTGCCGTATGAGTATACGTTGCCCAGGGTGCACCACGTGGAGGTAAGTCTATCGCACACCCCACCGTCGGATATAAAATGGAAGAACAAGTACCACCAAAGGAAAAAGCGTACTTCAAAAATAATACTAAAATCTTATTTATTTTTTTTAAATTGCGCATGCAAAATTAAATATATAATTTCCTCCTTCATTTGCAACTCCTTCTTGTCTTCCGATCCTCTTTGAGATAAATAACTTGTTGATATTGAATTTACAAATCCCTTCAAGTGGTTGCCGATTTCAATCGCATTTAAAAACCACTTTTTCACTCATAGTATTTTTAAGGAATTGGAATTATGGTAATGGGGTTAGGAATGGTCTTATGAATATGGAGGGTTTTCCAGCATTGTATTTTAACTCAATCTCCAGATCTAAATCCTTTTAACTACAATTCCCTTTGATGGACTGTAAACACTTGACCACAAGTGCTATTAGTAGCTTTAGTGGAGTTCAAGCCCTGATCAAGAAAAAGCGGTATTCGTTGTTTGTCTGAAGTGGTCTATACCCCCTTGACGGTTGGTAATATTTGCATTTTTATAATAAACTGAAAATTAATTCTCACAAATAATACTCTTCTATGAAAGGCGCTTGCTGAGTTGTCTCCTTGAATTGTCTGGAGGCACAACTCAAACCTAAACATATTTTTCCCTCTTGGTACCCCAGACATAAACAAAAATCGAAAGAAACAGTAAAACTGTCCAGAAGGAGCTAGTGAGGGGGGGGGTGGAGAGGGGGGGGGGCATAGAGCCCAAAATGATTATATCTGTAGCAATTCCAAATTCATCAGATATTTTTTGAATTTTACTCAAAACGTGGAGTTGCCTGCGATATACTTGAAAGCTAAAAATGTAAAATTTACTTTTAGCCCCAAGCAAACAGCCAGTCGGTGTTATTTAATGTCTATTTTTGTTGCTTGCTGCTTTAGGATCTTGACAACGTTGATATTTTCAATTTCATTCTTCCGGAAATACCTGTAAGATGATTTTTCAAATATTGTTCAAATTCCCAGAGAACTTCTATTTACCCCCCCCCCCCTTTACCGCCAGAATGAATTACCGCCAGAAGAGAAAGAGAAGTCTTCTGTACTACCGAAGGCAAGTTTCACTTACATTTACATAATTTTTTAAAAAATTCATATAGCTATATGTCTCTTTGCGTTTTTTTAGTACGAAGGCAAGAAATCCATGAAGACAAGGTATACAGGTATGAAGGAGACAGCAACACGAGTCTTTGAAATTGTGGAGAAAGCTGCCTCATTCTATGAACGCGTGGAAGGGTATGTTTAACATTCACCTTCTTATTTTTCAATTTCTTTACTATCTAAGATATATTTGGGGTTTTTCGCATGAAAATATTACCGGCAGACCTTAATTAAAGTGAAGGAGCCATTCGCAATAGTGAGATTTGAATCCGAGGGCACAGTTTCATGAACAATGGGTAATCCAATCAAATGTGTAAAGCAAAATTCATTTTAATATTCCTTAATACTAATTTTCCATTTCTTAGTTCTAATTGTTACTGTCTCATTAAGCCCCCAAACAGACGTATTTGAAGATACTGGACCTACAGGTCTTCTCACTTCAGCAGGTTAACTGTGCTCTCTCGTATATATAACACTTATAATTGATTTAAATAAAATATTTTCAAGAAATTGTCATCGTGCTTAGAGTTTGAGCAGTAAAACAAGCTTCACTTTCTTTCTATCCTCACATTGGATCGTGCTCTCCGTCCAATGATTTAAATATAATATATAATATTAAGAAAGCATAGATATAAAAGCACAGTTTATTAATCGATTTTATGTTCGTTTATTTTATACAATATTAGTCACAGTTTATGGGAATTTTACTCGATTCTTTTGGAGATTTTATTTTTAAATTGTCATAAATAATCAATTAACCTGAATATAAACCTTTCTTTTAAATCGCCCGATTTCTTTGCATCACTGTTTCACCATGGAATAATCGCCTCTCAATTTTCCCTAGATCATCAATTCTCCCAAACCCCACACACGGGGACAAGATCTCCAATAGAATTTCACTACTATATATGAAGTTTTATTAATTTCGTGGGAAATTAGATGGGTTGAAAAGCTTGGAGCTAGCAGTATTTATTTAGTTGTATCAAATGACAGGCGCTTTGATAATCATCATTAGCTCTTGTAGCGGATTGCTACCTTAATAAAGCCTGACTGACTCAGAAATCTCTATGGCAGATTCTCCAACATCTAGCTAGACTCTCAGAACCAGCTAAACTATAGCCCAGCTATAAAGGAAACAGACGTGTAGCACGGAGCACGTCTATCCAGGACGTGTATTGCGGATCAAGTGTGTACACGCAGGGAGCTACTCATGATCAGGATGGGGGATTAGGTTAAACAGAGGTTGATGATTGGTCACTGTTTGTACGGTCGCTGCACACAGAGCTGTACGGCCGCACCTCCCAATCCTGTCGAGCAGACATGCAGGCATACGATGACGCACAACGCGATAACGTGTCCCACACTCTTTAGTTGACCTCAAGCTTCACAGAGGGGAGGAGGAACATCAAAGTGAAAATGGTCGAGAGGGGAGGGGGGGGGGGAAAGAAGTGTGTTTCAAAGATATAAACGAGGCAGACATAAAGGTAGAAAAAGGTAAGATGAGTACTGTGAAAGTGGAGGAATATGACATACAGTGGGGTGATGGTAGTTTGAAGTCAGAAGTAAATTGCCGGTTAATAGACCTTTATGCCGTATAAGTATACGTTGACCAGGGTGCACCATGTGGAGGTAAGTCTATCGCACACCCCGGAGCTAATGACACTAACTTTTCTGATTAACTTTAGATTATTCAATTGGCGAATTCCATGGGTATCGTCGTTGGCTGTTATTATGCTGCTACTTCTAACAGTTATACTCTTCTTCGTGCCCATCAAGTATCTATTTATGCTCTGGGGTGGGTCTCGATGCATAACACCTTTTTAGACATTTCTTGTTCTTACTGAGAAATGTGCTCTGTCATTACTTTAAAAGGTTTCAATAAATTTACCAAAGCATTTCTACGACCGAATGCCATAAGTCACAATGAAATTATGGACTTCCTTTCCAGAGTTCCAGATCTACTCGAAGTGGTGCGTTTTCAAATTTTATTTTAATGAGAGTTTGCTTGGTGGTGATAGAGGTGTTGACCGAATAGATTAAACTCGACGGTATTGAGAGTATAATATTATGCAAATGACTTTGTCAGATTTTCTACCATTCTTGCAATATTTAATCAATAGATTTGTAATAATAATCATCCCTTTAACTATGTCGAATCAAGTTCATTGTTCAGTCAGGTGGGTGCTTAGCTTTAAGGGTTCTAATTTAGACGATCTAAAGTAGGATTTAAGACGCACTGAAATTGGCGCATAAAGTCATTATCACAAGTTTTGCTTATAGAACTGTTATATTTTCAATTGTGTAAAGTGTGACCTTCTTTTCCGAGAACATTCAAAGAACGCTATTTGATAGTTTGGTTACATCAAGAACTTCCTAGTTGTTTTGGTTGGCTTAGGAATTGTAATATTTCGGATATGCGTGACAGCAAAACATAAACAAGGCATTTTAAATTAATTAAAATTATACCATGAAGGCGGGCAGATGAATAAATTAGGAGTTTTGTTCCATGTAATGCGATAGAGATTGCATATACCACCAGTTATGGGGCGTTCAAGAGCACCTAAAAAATAGATAGTTGTACTGGACGTTCTTTGACTAGTGCAGGTGTGCTATTTGTTGGATCATGGGAAGCAGGACTGAATACTGCTTTATTCACTGGAAGCTTTCTACTTTTATTTAAGGTCGAATTGACGGAGTATCGACCGGATGCCTTCACAATTGTGCCCAAGGGAAGAACGCACAAAAGCTAACGCTGGTCGCAGTGAAATTTTAAGAAGTGGATGACCATCTCCTTCTTTCGTTCCTTCGATGTGATAGACGTTTGCGCCTTGTTAGTACCCATTCTCTATGCTGAATTTCAATAAACTATCCCGTTTAAGCCCTGGACAAATTAATAATAATTTGTATAATTTGCCTACTTCATCACTTTATTTAGGCCACTCGACCGTTTCGAGTCCATTTGAAATATTTTTTTCATTTTTCCTCAGTTATTCATGATGACCTAAGCTTCTTTTAGTGATAGGGAAATGGGAAAAGGTTAGAAAATAATAATTTATTAAAGTTTTATCGAAAATGATACTCAAGAGTCCATACAATGGGAAATTCCATTCTATATTGCAATTTCATATAGGCAATCTGTTAAAGTACAAATCATATTTACTCATACTTACTATTGACGCATTTAGTATTATATTTCACGTTATCTTTCCGTTATTGTTTAAACTGTTCCCTATACCATATTTTCCGCCATAGATCGATTCGAATTGTAAGAAGTTCTCGATAAGAGACTGTGGGGTTCCTTCATCTAAGTGGGATATCGGCTTATGGAATGCAAATTACTAACTGGGCATTTCGAAAATCACTCTATACTTCATCTAAAATATGGACAATCTTGGTGCATAAATTGTCATTTTTGACGGTTTATTTTGTATTGATTTGAGCATGTACCTTTTTAGTGATAAATTATCCCTTTTGCACTTGAAAAAATAGTTTACCGTCTCAGCACTTTATTGACCATTTAAGGGCCTGGAGACCTTTCCTTAGTTTTGCTTTTTAATTTGGTCTATACACTTACTTACCCGACATAGTACCTGAATGCCGAATGAAGAACTTTTTACCCGCTCAATTCTATGTCATTGAAACACCACTTTGGTAATTAATTATAAAATCAGACGCAAACAGTTAATTGTTCCACTGTCTGAAGCACCATATTTTTTCGCATCAATTAACGAAGGTTTATTAGAGTAGCCCTGTTTGGTTTAATACCTGTCTTCGCCCTTCCCCACCAGAATGATTTCATTGTACTCATTTACGCATGACGTGGTCATACGTTACAATAATATTAGACGGCAAGTAAAAATTTTGGAGAGAGAAAAGAATTACAAGTAGAGCAAAAATCGATAGCATTACCTCTATTAATCCGCTTATAAAATATGTGAATTGTGACGCTGAGGTTAGCGGTTTCTTTCCATATATCCTCACAGCTGTATAAATCGAATCGGGGTATATCTTTGTATTCATTATCCAAATCGGTTCTAATTATAAGTTCCGCCCAATGATAATGAAATAAATTAGAAAAGTACTTAATTTTGGTATCTAAATTGGATTGCAGTGATTCGTTTTTTAAAAATTAAATTATATCTCAAACGATTGTTTTAATCAACAGCACAAATTGAAATGGGTGGTAATTGACTGACTGCTAGAGATTCTCAATTAATGCTCTTTCTAACCAAATATTAGAGTGTAAATCCAAGGGATTTAGAATGAGTGCAAAAGAAAAACAATTTGATTTCTAACATTTATGAGCTAGAGGAAATAATAAAGGATCGCTTCCCTATTTCAATAAATTTTATCAAATTATGCACACAACTGTGCTGTGGGACACGTCATCGCATGCCTGCACGTAGGATTGGGAGGTCGGCCGTACAAACAGTGACCAATCATTAACCTCTGTTTAATCGAATCCCCCATCCTGAGCATGAGCAACTCCCTGCGTGAACACACTTTTANGAGGAAATAATAAAGGATCGCTTCCCTATTTCAATAAATTTTATCAAATTATGCACACAACTGTGCTGTGGGACACGTCATCGCATGCCTGCACGTCAGGATTGGGAGGTGCGACCGTACAAACAGTGACCAATCATTAACCTCTGTTTGTTTAACCTAATCAGCCATCCTGATCACGATTAAGCTTCCTGCGTGTACACTTACTTACTGAATAAACGTGCTCCGTGGTACACGTCTGTTTCCTTTCATAGCTGGGCTATGGCTTAGCTGGTTCTGGGAGTCTAGCTAGATATAGGAGGATCTACCATAGAGATTTCTGAGTCAGTCAGGCTTTACTAACGTAGCAATCCGCTACGGTGTTAATCAAAGAAAATTTCATAAATGCAAAAAATACCTATAAAATTAAGTGTAATTACCCTTATTTTATAACCAAATCGAGGCTAAAATGTTCACATTCGTATCGGTGGAAAGCTATAGAACTAGTGCAACAAAAATGGGTGGAGTCGACTGAAAATGTTGCATTTAATTACGTTCGTTTATTAACCTCATTCGGTTGACAAAAATATAACAAACGATAATAATATTTAAGTAAATTGGTAAACGGATTGGGTTTCCCCATGAATGAAGTCTGAAGGGCTCTGTTATGCTAATTAGCACCAGCTCTTCTCACCCTGCCGGTATCTTGCCTAATAGACAAAATTCTATCTTAATTTATACAAAAATTGCATTTTTTTATATGAATGAAATCAATTGAAATCGATTAACAAAAACCCAGCAAATGGTAAAGTGGAGGGCAACCGAAAATAATCAGTGAGCACTTTCGAAGTAGCAAATATTCAAAGATGTGAATTTCTTGAATTGTTTTTCGGGTTGTAGCTGACACCTATTGATCGTTTTTTTTAATCGTAACGGATCAATCGCACCACGTCGGCTCCTCCTTTTCTCCCAATATTTAAACTTGTGCATAAATTTATCAGCCAGCCAATAGGGTTTAGACTCCCCAAACCCTAATTTACTCAGAAAATAGGCGAACAAAATTAAATATTTGAAAATAGTAGAAAAGCGCTCAATCTAAATCCTACTTACACCATTTTATATATATAAGGAAACCCCACTCTTAATCCACATTGGATTCTCTTGCCGTATCTCGTGTTCAGATCATTTGGCAAAATGAAAAGTTTTAAGCTTTATCCCTTTGCGCGAGTAATCAATTATTGAACAAATGCAATTTCGATCAATTCAATTGAACTATTCAATATTAGGATAATAAAACAGGATTATGCAGTGCATTCAGACGTAATAATCCTTCTTCCCCCGTCCATTTTTTCGGGATCACAAATCTCTACCTATGATTAACAATAATTATGGGTCATGGACAATAAATTCTGCAATCGGGTAAAATTATAATAATGCAAGTCTTGTTTTTTTTCTAAATAAAGCAATTATGGTGAATTTACTTTTACACACGTAGAAATTGTTTAAGTGAAATCCCGTCATTGTTTTCACGTGGTGTGTTAGGGGGAAAAAATCAAGAAGCAGTATATTTTATCTAATGAAAGGTCATTTTTATACAAATCGGAAATTGAGACAATGAAAGGAAATGCGGTATCATTGACATATAAATGATCTGGGTGCGAGTCTCCGTTGCTGCTCCTGAAAAAAGTGAAAAGAAAATAGAATAAAAAACGATTAATTTCAAGAGTTAGAGGTTCATTTAGGGGATGTGCGATAGACTTACCTTCACGTGGTGCACCCTGGGCAATGTACATTCATATGACAAAAAAGTCTATAAACCGGCAGTTGACTTCTCACTTCAAACTACCATCACCTCACTCTATGCCATATTCGACTATTTTCACAGTACTCACCTCACCTTTTTTCTACCTTTGTGTTTGTCTCTTACATCTTTGAAACACTCTTCTCTTCCCCCCCCCCCACCCTCTCGACTTTTTTCAATTTGATGTTCCTTCCCCTCTGTGAAGTCTGAAGTCAAATAAAGGGTTAATGATAACCATCAAGACGCCTGCCATTTGAAATAAATAAATAAGGTTCATTTAGTGAAATTCTATCGACCGTGTTTGCGTTGTTGAGTGTTAGGTATCAGTAAATAGAGCCAATACAAGGTAGGGCTTATAGAATTGACATATTTTTGGTTAAAAGAAGTAAAGGGGGCGTTTTAATACAACGCGGTTTAGTTGAAATGAGCAGCAAGAAACGACAGACCGAGTAAACCGATCAAAAGCGTGTTGGTACTTGAGATATACTTTTAATATACTACCATTATGAAAGTAGTAAGTATTCAACCAAGACGAAAATGTCAATGTTTTTTCGACACGCAACTTTTAGAACCGTCTAATGAATTAGTTGAATAGGATAGTTTGTAAATGGTTTTAATAAAATTTTATGCAACTTAATTTGGCTGAAATGTCCCTTTTCACGATGTTTAATAGCTAAGATTGGCATGTTTTTTTGCAGTTTTCTAATC